CTCACCTGCACATGGACTGTTCCAACCTCTCCCCTCTCACCTGCACATGGACTGTTCCAACACTCCCCTCTCACCTGCACATGGACTGTTCCAACCTCTCCCCTCTCACCTGCACATGGACTGTTCCAACACTCCCCTCTCACCTGCACATGGACTGTTCCAACCTCTCCCCTCTCACCTGCACATGGACTGTTCCAACCTCTCCCCTCTCACCTGCACATGGACTGTTCCAACCACTCCCCTCTCACCTGCACATGGACTGTTCCAACCACTCACCTCGGACAGGAGGCTGCGGTCCATCAGGACCAGAACCTCCCGTCATAAGAACAGTCACTTTACTGCCCTTTATAAGTCACTTTACTGCCCTTTATAAGTCACTTTACTGCCCTTTATAAGTCACTTTACTGCCCTTTATAAGTCACTTTACTGCCCTTTATAAAGTCACTTTACTGCCCTTTATAAGTCACTTACTGCCCTTTATAAGTCACTTACTCCCTTTATAAAGTCACTTTACTGCCCTTTATAAGTCACTTACTGCCCTTTATAAAGTCACTTTATTGCCCTTTATAATTTCACTTTACTGCCCTTTATAAAGTCACTTTACTGCCCTTTATAAAGTCACTTTACTGCCCTTTATAAAGTCACTTTATTGCCCTTTATAATTTCACTTTACTGCCCTTTATAAAGTCACTTTACTGTCCTTTATAAAGTCACTTTACTGCTGTTATCTTATTGCACTGCCTACTGTATATTGTGTGATTGTAATTTAAATGTAGAAGTGTTGCTGGTTTTTATCATGCCTTTCTATTTATTTATTATTTAAATCTTTAAATTAAAATGCTATTGTGTGTTGACTTCCCGCCCCCTACTTCCTCATACAGACAAACATGGGACCTGAGGCTGTAGCAGCATATTTTCTCCTCTGCTGTTTCCTGGGAGTTAACGGTGAGATTGTATTTATTTGGTCATTTCCATGAGTTTCCTGCTTCGGTGAAACCTGACTGTGCTCCCAACATCCCTGTGTGTGTGTTTGTGTGTGTGTGTGTGTGTGTGTGTGTGTGTTTAGACAAGTCTCTCCGTGTGCTGCTCTTACCCACTGTGTGTGCACTAACTGTGTGGACTGTTTTGCAAAAGTATATTTACAGATTCAAGATGAATTTATTACGTCTCAGAATAAATGTGTCTTTTACTCACTCAGAGTAAAGTAGAAGTGTCTGAGGTGATGGATAAAAACAAACGTCCTCATGTTCAAAACCATAAACGTGTCCCTGGTGTGACTTCTGGTAGTGTAGAGTACGATGGTAGTTTCCTGTACAGACACTAGTATTGTTGAGACACTGGTCTTTTGCAAAGCTCTGTAAATAACGTGTTTATCTCAAACACATTTATTCTGAGAATGTAAAGCGACCTAAAGCTGGGGTACCTGACTTTTTCATCAGTATTGGTCCCAACACAGAGTCCAGACCTGTACAGGCTGTTTATATTTGACACATGACTCTTCTTCAGATGTTTACGTTCATTATTATTAATGTTTTAACCGTTTTAACCAGAGACATCTGCTCATGTTTTTACAGTCAGAGTCATAAAGAGGCACAGAGCTGAACAAACATCACACTGCAAATATACTACTCTGCTCTGCCCTACCCTACCCTACCCTACCCTACTCTACTCTACTCTACTCGACTCGACCCGACCCGACCCGACCCGACCCGACCCGACCCTACCCTACCCTACCCGACTCGACTCGACTCGACTCGACCCGACCCGACCCCGACCCGACCCGACCCGACCCCTACCCTACCCTACCCTACCCTACCCTACCCGACCCGACCCGACCCGACCCGACCCGACCCGACCCGACCCGACCCTACCCGACCCGACCCGACCCGACCCGACCCGACCCGACCCTACCCGACCCGACCCGACCCGACCCGACCCGACCCGACCCGACCCGACCCTACCCTACCCCCTACCCTACCCTACCCTACTCTACTCTACTCTACTCTACTCGACTCGACCCGACCCGACCCGACCCGACCCGACCCTACCCTACCCTACCCTACCCTACCCTACCCACCCGACCCGACCCGACCACCCGACCCGACCCGACCCGACCCGACCCGACCCGACCCGACCCGACCCGACCCGACCCGACCCGACCCGACCCGACCCGACCCGACCCGACCCGACCGACCCGACCCCCCTACCCTACCCTACCCTACCCTACCCTAACCCTAATCTACTCTACTCTACTCTACTCTACTCTACTCTACTCGACCCGACCCGACCCGACCCGACCCGACCCGACCCTACCCTACCCGACCCGACCCGACCCGACCCGACCCGACCCGACCCGACCCACCCTACCCTACCCTACCCTACCCTACCCTACCCTACCCTACCCTACCCTACCCTACTCTACTCTACCCTACCCTACCCTACCCTACCCTACCCTACCCTACCCTACCCTACCTACTCTACTCTACTCTACTCTACCCTACTCTACTCTACTCTACTCTACTCTACTCTCTTGTGTTTCCATTACACTTTAGTCTCTGGTCCTGTATCCTAGAAACCAACCTACACAAAAAATATCTGGGGAATTTCCCTGGTAACCGTGGCTTCCAGCAGCACTCTGGCCAATCACTGTCAGTTAGAACACTTTAGCACCAGCTCGGCCTGGATAGAACCAGGACCAAGAAGGACCTGGTGCTGGTCACACAGGACCATATGTAGTTACAGGAAGCAGCTTCTTCCTCTTCCTCTTCTCTCTCGGGTAAATGTGACTCCAACCACATATAGCAGAGTAGAGCCCAGCCCAGCACAGTAGAGCCCAGCATTGTGGAGTAGAGTAGATTTGTGCTATTTTCATTATTTATTAATTCTTTACACGGTGGTAATAAACTACTGTAGCCACAGCTGCCCTGGGGCACACTGACAGAAGCGAGGCAACCAGACTGTGCCATCGGCCCCTCCCACCACCACCGACCACTCACACACACACCAGACTCATTCTAATGTGGGGGAAGTGTCTTGCTTAAGGACACAACCACAGTTTGGCCCCACTGTGGCACCATCAGTGAGAGTCAGAGAAAGTCTTGTTGTGGACTCGAACCAACAACCTTCAGGCTCAAAGGCCAATGCTCTACGTCTGAGCCACTGTCGTCCTGAATATCTCTGTGTTGACATTTCCTGCGACTAGAGCAGAAAGAGTTGAGTTCATGAAATTCTCTGGATCCAAATCTGTTTCTGTGGTTTCACCTAAATATAAAAATGTCAAATAAAAGACATTTTCTGACTGTTTTTATCTCATTTATTCACAGGTATCGACTCAGAGAGATTTATCCAGACCAACAAAGACCTCGTCCTCGATATAAAGCCACCAGACAAAAATGACACATTTGACTGGAAATTTAACCCCAGCAAAAATATAGTGAGATTCATACAAAAATATAGTGATGTAAAAATACATGATAATTATAAAGACAGGGTTCAGTTTTTTCCACAAAATTTCTCTCTGGTTCTAAAAAGTGTCCAGCTCAAAGACAGTGGGAGATACACAGCTGTGTCGTCTGGACACAATGTAAACACACTTGCAACATTTGACGTCTCAGTAGAAGGTGAGTTTCATTTACAACCTGCAAAGTCTAAAGTTGGTGTTTTAGGGAATAATGCACCGGCCGAAGCACATACTACATTTATAGATTTAACCTTGAATCTGTCAGTTACAAAACACTTGTACACAGACACAGGGAGAACATGCAAACTCCACACAGAAAGGACCCATCTGTCTTTGTTCAGGTTTATTTCCTCTTTTTGTCGTTATCTCAGTTTCTTCATGGACTTTACAAAACCGTCGATTCTCCAACAACAGATCAGAGAATCAAACATTTCAAACACAAGACACAGACACTGGTCCATACCTCAGACTGTAGACCCAGGACTGAGGCTGTAGACCCAGGACTGAGGCTGTAGACCCAGGACTGAGGCTGTAGACCCAGGACTGAGACTGTAGACCCAGGACTGAGGCTGTAGACCCAGGACTGAGGCTGTAGACCCAGGACTGAGGCTGTAGACCCAGGACTGAGGCTGTAGACCCAGGACTGAGGCTGTAGACCCAGGACTGAGGCTGTAGACCCAGGACTGAGACTGTAGACCCAGGACTGAGACTGTAGACCCAGGACTGAGGCTGTAGACCCAGGGTTGAGGCTGTAGACCCAGGACTGAGGCTGTAGACCCAGGATTGAGGCTGTAGACCCAGGACTGAGGCTGTAGACCCAGGACTGAGGCTGTAGACCCAGGATTGAGGCTGTAGACCCAGGACTGAGGCTGTAGACCCAGGACTGAGGCTGTAGACCCAGGACTGAGGCTGTAGACCCAGGATTGAGGCTGTAGACCCAGGACTGAGGCTGTAGACCCAGGACTGAGGCTGTAGACCCAGGACTGAGGCTGTAGATCCAGGACGGAGGCTGTGGGTCCAGGACTGAGGCTGTAGACCCAGGATTGAGGCTGTAGACCCAGGACTGAGGCTGTAGACCCAGAACTGAGGCTGTAGACCCAGGACTGAGGCTGTAGACCCAGGACTGAGGCTGTAGACCCAGGATTGAGGATGTAGACCCAGGACTGAGGCTGTAGACCCAGGACTGAGGCTGTAGATCCAGGACTGAGGCAGCTCCCAGGCGGGGAGAGGGTGCATCCCAGGAGTTCGGGCCCAGCAGGACAGTCTGCAGGTGCAGATGGAGGAGGCCGGGCTCAGGGTCCTATCATCACATCCTGAAACAGAAAGTGGGACAGCGGGTGAATAGCAATGAACAGACTACAGCTGAAGTCATGATGAGGACAGATAAAGAAGACCACAGTGACTCCATATCCAGCCTGACTGACATCACTCTAAGTCTTCTCTGAATGGATTGATAAAGTTCGGACGGCCTCTCTCTCCATTGGCCTCAACACAATCATTACAGAGTTTCTACAGCGTCTGTCTGTGTCTCCCTGAACAGTCTCCTCCAACAGTCTCCAACCGTCTCCTCCAACAGTCTCCTCCAACAGTCTCCTCCAACAGTCTCCTCCAACAGTCTCCAACCGTCTCCTCCAACAGTCTCCTCCAACCGTCTCCTCCAACCGTCTCCTCCAACCGTCTCCTCCAACAGTCTCCAACAGTCACCTCCAACAGTCTCCTCCAACCGTCTCCTCCAAAAGTCTCCTCCAACAGTCTCCTCCAACAGTCTCCTCCAACAGTCTCCTCCAACAGTCTCCTCCAACCGTCTCCTCCAACAGTCTCCTCCAACAGTCTCCTCCAACAGTCTCCTCCAACCGTCTCCTCCAACAGTCTCCAACAGTCACCTCCAACAGTCTCCTCCAACCGTCTCCTCCAAAAGTCTCCTCCAACAGTCTCCTCCAACAGTCTCCTCCAACAGTCTCCTCCAACAGTCTCCTCCAACCGTCTCCTCCAACAGTCTCCTCCAACAGTCTCCTCCAACAGTCTCCTCCGACAGTCTCCTCCGACAGTCTCCTCCAACCGTCTCCTCCAACAGTCTCCTCCAACAGTCTCCCTGAACAGTCTCCTCCAACAGTCTCCTCCAACAGTCTCCTCCAACAGTCTCCTCCGACAGTCTCCTCCAACCGTCTCCTCCGACAGTCTCCTCCAACCGTCTCCTCCAACAGTCTCCTCCAACAGTCTCCTCCAACAGTCTCCTCCAACAGTCTCCTCCAACCGTCTCCTCCAACAGTCTCCTCCAACCATCTCCTCCAACAGTCTCCTCCAACAGTCTCCTCCAACAGTCTCCTCCAACTGTCTCCTCCAACAGTCTCCTCCAACCGTCTCCTCCAACAGTCTCCTCCAACTGTCTCCTCCAACAGTCTCCTCCAACAGTCTCCTCCAACAGTCTCCTCCAACCGTCTCCTCCAACCGTCTCCTCCAACCGTCTCCTCCAACAGTCTCCTCCAACCGTCTCCTCCAACCGTCTCCTCCAACAGTCTCCTCCAACAGTCTCCTCCAACAGTCTCCTCCAACAGTCTCCTCCAACCGTCTCCTCCAACCGTCTCCTCCAACAGTCTCCTCCAACAGTCTCCTCCAACAGTCTCCTCCAACCATCTCCTCCAACAGTCTCCTCCAACAGTCTCCTCCAACAGTCTCCTCCAACTGTCTCCTCCAACAGTCTCCTCCAACCGTCTCCTCCAACAGTCTCCTCCAACTGTCTCCTCCAACAGTCTCCTCCAACAGTCTCCTCCAACAGTCTCCTCCAACCGTCTCCTCCAACCGTCTCCTCCAACAGTCTCCTCCAACAGTCTCCTCCAACAGTCTCCTCCAACAGTCTCCTCCAACAGGAACCACAGTTTTACAGATGAACCAACAGAAACACGTCACCATCAGTAGAGTTCTGTCAGACACATGAAGTCAGCGGCTCCAGACTCAGAAGGTCCAGCTCTTGGTGCAAGTGCCAGCAGGAGGCCAGTCCCTGTGCTCCTCAGAGTCCCAGCAGGAGGCCAGTCCCTGTGCTCCTCAGAGTCCCAGCAGGAGGCCAGTCCCTGTGCTCCTCAGAGTCCCAGCAGGAGGCCAGTCCCTGTGCTCCTCAGAGTCCCAGCAGGAGGCCAGTCCCTGTGCTCCTCAGAGTCCCAGCAGGAGTCCAGTCCCTGTGCTCCTCCGAGTCCCAGCAGGAGTCCAGTCCCTGTGCTCCTCCGAGTCCCAGCAGGAGGCCAGTCCCTGTGCTCCTCCGAGTCCCAGCAGGAGGCCAGTCCCTGTGCTCCTCCGAGTCCCAGCAGGAGGCCAATCCCTGTGCTCCTCCGAGTCCCAGCAGGAGGCCAGTCCCTGTGCTCCTCAGAGTCCCAGCAGGAGGCCAGTCCCTGTGCTCCTCCGAGTCCCAGCAGGAGGCCAGTCCCTGTGCTCCTCAGAGTCCCAGCAGGAGGCCAGTCCCTGTGCTCCTCCGAGTCCCAGCAGGAGGCCAGTCCCTGTGCTCCTCCGAGTCCCAGCAGGAGGCCAGTCCCTGTGCTCCTCCGAGTCCCAGCAGAGGATTCCACAGATGTACTTTGGTGTGAGGCCATGGAGAGTTCAATCTGGAGAGACCAAGGAAGACACATTAAAGACCTTATGACGGGTTTAAAAAAAAAAAATAGTGGATATCAAAAATCTGTCAATCTGAAAGAGATTCCGGCAAAAAAAATCCTATATTTTATAAAAAGAAGGTGTTTTTCATGAATTTAAGTTGTCTATGCTCTAACCTGTGTGTGACGTCACAGCGGGTAACGCCCATGCATTGAAAACCATGGATCTATGCCACAGGACTGCCTTTCTCTCTTCTCTCCACTGATGCCCAACACAATACTGCCCTCTACAGGTGACAATTGCTCACTACACATAAATTGCCGTTTTGAGAGTGAAAAAGTGTCTGAGGTGGGATTTGAACCCAAGTATCTGGATTGGCAGTCCATCGACACAACCACTGGACTATCTCAGTGACAACAAAGAGTTATAATCTAGTATTTATGTCAGACTCTCTGTACACGGCCTTGTCATCTTGAATATCCACGAAAAAAAGCAAGAGCTTCAAGAAGCTCTGGTTAGTGGGAAGTGGCTGCTTTTAAAATGCTTGCTTTGCTGTCAATAGGTTTACAAGGAGGCTGGCCGAGCTGTGTGATTGGCTGAAGCTGGCCGAGCTGTGTGATTGGCTGAGGCTGGCCGAGCTGTGTGATTGGCTGAGGCTCGAGGCTGGCCCTGGATGTGGTGAGAGCTGCAGCATGAGGTCTTCCCAGTCTGAAATTGCGCTTAAGCTTCATACGTGTAACAAACAGAGCTGCATTGAATGATACATGTAAATAATGTGGTCCCATGTCCTGACTCTGACTCACAGTAATGTGGTCCCATGTCCTGACTCTAACTCACAGTAATGAGGTCCCATGTCCTGACTCTAACACACAGTAATGAGGTCCCATGTCCTGATTCTAACTCACAGTAATGTGGTCCCATGTCCTGACTCTAACGGAGGTGCGTCCGGAGGAGTGCACTCATTCAATCTAACGTACTCGTCCTGTTGGAGCCAAGTCTCCGAGAGCGCAAACAGATCCAAGACCTTGTCTATAATAAGTTTCGTTTATGAGAAGCGATTTAGACGAGATTGATCCGACGTTCATTAAACCACATTTAACAACCCTACCGCTAGAACTATTTCTGTCTGTCTGAACTTTTATTAAGTTACTGTGTCTGACACCTAGGTCAGATTTCCTCGCATATAGTGCTTTAGACTTCAAGCGGGGAACACACACAGTTTCAATCTGACTAGGTTCTGAGGCTAGTAACTGAGCACACACAGGCACACACACACATGCACACATAGTTTCAATCTGACTAGCTTCTGAGGCTAGTAACTGAACAGATGGGGGCTCAGAGGTTGTGGCAGAGCAGCTCTGCACCCGGGCCTCAGTTCTGCATCGTCATTTGAGCCGGGCAGAACAGTTTAGAGCCAGGGCCAAATTCTTAGCCAAAAGGGATGTACCCGCCAACGTTGGGTGGATATCATCCGAGCGGATGAGACCGGGCTTTCCCCAAAAGGCACTCCAATTGTCAACATGAACAACACCACTTCGAGGGCACCAGCCAGACAGCCAGCGGTTGAAAGCCGAGTGTCTGCTGAATGCTTCTGCACTGCTAGTGCTAGGTAGGGGCCCAGAGAAGATGACAGTGTCGGCCATTGTGCTAGCCAGCTTGCACACGGCGGCGACTTGCAGCTTCAACACCTCGGACTGTTTCCGCCGAACGTCATTACCACCCGCGTGAATAACAATTCGACGGAAACGCTGCTTGTGGGCATCATGAGCCTCAGATTCCCTTCAATATCACCAAGCCTGGCCCCAGGGAAGCACCGAACAGTGGCTCCTGGGATCTTAACACCTCTAACAATAGAGGAGCCAATTACCAGCACATCAGCGACTCCATCGGCTCTCTCAGCAGCTCTCTCAGCAGCTCTCTCAGTGGGGCCTTCTTCCCCGCCCGGCCGCGCGGGGGCGCAGCCGGACAGAGCGTCCCAGCGATTGTAAATGCTAACAGGAGGAGGCCCAATGGGGAAACTACCAACAACACGTCGCCCTCTCCGAACAGTCACAAAGCCATCACTATCCTGGTCTTGTCCCAGCTGCGGAGACGGGCTGGGAGGCTAGGCTCGCTAGTTCTCCTCTGCCTTTCCCTAAAGCTGCGCTCCGCTGTCCCTGAGGATACGGCCTGGCTGTAGCTAATGCTAGCGCTAGCTCGAGACTCCAGTGCTCGGAGACGCAGCTCTAACTCACTGACCTGGATTCCAGAGCTACGACTACACTACACTTCACACATCTATCACTACCCTCAGAGAAGGATCCAGGGTTTAGACTCGCCATATGGCAACGCGAGCAGTAAAGGATTGAGGGAGAGACAGCAGCCGCCATAGTAGCGAGTTAGCGGCTAGGCTAAGCTAGGCTAGGCTAAGCTAGTACGGATCCGGGCCCGCACAACAGACTCCGAGACCAGACAAACAACCGCTACCTAAACCTCAGCTGCAGTACAGCTGACTCGGAGTGCTTACACAGTTAGCTTGGTGTACAATACGTGGATTTGTAATGTGTTTGTTAGAGCAAACAGAGAGCAGAGTGATAGCAGTCAAGAAACACGCTCACCGGATACAGGAAGTCACGTCACGTCACGTTACAAAAGTAAAATCTGATGAAAGCTCAGCCAATAAGCAAGAGCACTTCCTTATTGGCGTTCTTTGAGCTAGCGTGTTAGCATTAGCATCAGTATACAGTCTGTTTGTGTGCAAGCCCCGGCGATCCAAGATGGCGCCCTATTCAAATGAATGGTTGTGCTCAGTGGCGCTTTGTGACGGCATGGGGGCTGAAAGATTAGCGGAAGTCGCCTGAAACTCTCAAAGATCTATGGGAAACTCTCAAAGATCTATGGAAACTCGCAAAGATCTATGGGAAACTCTCAAAGATCTATGGGAAACTCTCAAAGATCTATGGGAAACTCTCAAAGATCTTTGGGAAACTCTCAAAGATCTATGGGAAACTCTCAAAGATCTCTGGGAAACTCTCAAAGATCTATGGGAAACTCTCAAAGATCTATGGGAAACTCTCAAAGATCTATGGGAAACTCTCAAAGATCTTTGGGAAACTCTCCTGTATTTGGGCATCGTCTGGTCCTCCCGGTTCTGTGCAGTGGATGATCTCCCATAATGCATTGCGCCAAACACGCGTGTGTGGGTCTCACACCGGGTCTCACGCACGTGCACAGAGGGTCTCACGCACGTGCACAGAGGGTCTCACGCACGTGCACAGAGGGGCTCGGCCGCGCTCTGACCAATCAGAGCAGTTCATCAGAGCGGGAGTTAGAGCGAGAGCCAGAGGAGCAGAGTTTGTGGCACTAAAGTGTGGATTTAAACAAAACCGAAGGATTTAAGAAGAAAAAAGTTCAGGATGACAAGGGACACTAAAATCCCCACAAAATACTATCTTTATTAAAGCTGTAGGTTCTCTGTCAGGTTCTCTGTCAGCTGAGGTCGAGCTGTTTTAATATGCATTGAGTTCTATGGGGGAAAATTTCTGGTTAGCCCACGTGAATCTGGTCTCAAGATGGGTCTCATCTCTCTCTGGTCTCTCTCTGGTCTCTCTCTGGTCTCTCTCTGGTCTCTCTCTGGTCTCTCTCTGGTCTCTCTCTGGTCTCTCTCTGGTCTCTCTCTGGTCTCTCTCTGGTCTCTCTCTGGTCGCTCTCTCTGGTCTCTCTCTGGTCCTCTCTCTGGTCTCTCTCTGGTCTCTCTCTGGTCTCTCTCTGGTCTCTCTCTGGTCTTTCTCTGCTCTCTCAACTCTGGTAAAGTCCAGAAAGACTTAGACTGCGGCTAGGATTTAGAGCGAAACACAAAAACTCAAGACCAGACCCCAGACCAGACCCACACCCAAGGCCAACCCAGAACCAAGACCAGACCCAAGACCAAAGACAAGACCCAGACCTACGACCGAAGACCGAACAGACCAAGGATCAGACACACACCCAAGACCAGACCAAGGACTAGAGACTCACCCAAGAACAGACCCAGAACCAAGACTCGGGACCCAAGACCAAAGACCAGACCCAAGACCAAGACCGGACCACACCCACGACCAGACCCAGCACCAAGACCCCCCAACCAAAACCAGACAAAAGACCAGACCCAGACCCAGACCCAAGACCCAAGACCAGACCCAGACCAGACCTGGACGTTTTATTTTGAGAAGTGTACTGTGGTCAAATTACTCAAGGACCAAATCAAGACCAAACAGGGTCTAAAATCAGACTTACACTAAAACCCACCTGGACCAAAGACCCAGACCCGACCTGGACCCAGACCCTTCCAGACAGACCTGTCTCCTGCTGCTCCTCGCTCCTGGAGTGTCAGTC